GTGAGGCACTTAGAGGCCTTGCTGACATGAAGCACTATAGAAGTGGAACATATTTTTATTATTAAAAAAGAAAGAAAAAATTCAGGAAAATATATATTTGTTTTAATAATTTCTATTAAATATAGAATGAGAACCTTGGTAGAGCCCCCATCTTAAAATCTATGTGTGGCTTTATAAATTCAATATTTTTTTATTCATCAATACAATTTTTTCCCTGTTTGATGCATTTGGCAAAACCATTTGGTAAATGAGAAAACAATTTTTTTTCCAACCCTCCTCTGATGACCATTAAAAAATAAAGTTAACAAAACAAGTTATAAAAATTCATGTCTTCTAAAAATATAAATCTCTTTAGCTCTCTATCTTGCTGTAATGTGTAGAATTCTTGTGTGAACACCATTTAACACAACTTCCATGAAAACAAGAAAAATGAATATTGTCATATTTTTAATATCTGATATAAAATGAACTTACATTCAAACTAAATGAAAAATAGTTCAATATGGTTAAAAGTAAAGGGATAATATAAATACATATGTATAAACTGAATGTGCCCACCCGTCAAGCAAACAACACACTATAACATATAAACCACTATAAATAGTAATGACAAATACTTTTAAATTTCAATACCTCATTGGTACTAAGATGGAATATTATAATTAAACTGAGGGAAATTATCAAAATAGTTATCATAGCAACCATAAACATTACATAATATCTACATACTTTATATCTCACAGGTGTTTTTTTTTATTCAATCAGAAATACAGAATAAAACTAGTTTATTAATCAAAAATAATAATGAAAATTAAACTTAACTCATTGTAACCAAGAGTTAAAGTATACTTTAACTTATTTTCTGTAATCTTTAGCATTATAATTTACAAATGAACCTAATAATCAAACAATTTGTTTTCTATTAACACAAGCCTAAAAATTAAAACATTTTTCTTAAAATATTTTTTTACAAATTTACAAGTTCATATAAAATATAGCACAAGTCAACATATTGTTTGACTCATCCCACTTTTTCTTCAACTCATTTTATAATAACAATACGACTTGAAATCAAAATTTCTGATAAAATGGTCAACATGCACAGATGTAGGCGTCGTAAGTTGTAAAGAGATACCTATACTGTATATTGCAAACAGAATATTCTTTACATTATATTATTATAGCTATTTACATCAACTCATGTAGGATAAATGCAGGAAAAATGTAAAAAAAGAATGCTGCAATAAAGCTCTGTCCAGACTATCAAATTTTGTTTGACAAACATGTGACATGCCCAAATATGGTCATGATGACATTACATCATGACCATATATAGGCACATCCTGATTACAGGCATACAATTGTTTGCAAAGTAAAATTTTATAGTCTGGACAAAGTATTAGAGTACCAGAGGTATACACTGTGTTTCAAACACAACTGATACAAGAGTTATTACAATAATCAATACTTACTATTCAATATAATCAATATATGCATGAATATTATTAAAACCTTTTATATTTCAAGCTAAAATAAAACAAACAAAAGCTTTTGTAGCACATTATCTGATATTGGGTATTAACATTTAGTGCTAAAAAATCTATACAAAAACACAAAACACTTAAAATACTACCAATAATAAAAACTGTATTCTATTGTTTTGGTTAATGGAATATATCAAGCCCTGGATACAATCTGAAGACAATCTATTATAAGGATTGGAAAAAATTTGATTTACTTCAGAAAATAGTTTATCTTTATAAAAAAAATTTACATCAGGAAGACAGGTAGTATTTTATTATTTGCTTTAAATTGCTGGATTTCTAGAATAGTTTTGGATATCAAATTTGGGTTACAACATTTTCACAAGTATATGACTTACAGTTCAACTGATATATATTATATTGATAATTAATTGAGAAAACCTAATTATTCATTAACAACAGAAGCTCAACACAATTAAATTAATTATGATAAAGCATTCAGGAAAAATATACCAGAAGTACATCAATATTTTCAATTAAAAGATTATTTTTTTTTCATTAAATTTGATGGGAGACTCATTCATAATTCTGGGAATTGGAAAACATTCATTTATTGACGATCAATGGAGTTAAAAAACCATTCAGTAAATTTTCGAAGCTGTGTGGAAGCAGTTTGCGATTCTTCTTGCAATCTCATGTTATCCTGTCGGAGCTTTTCAATTTGATCTTCTAGGCTTTGCTTCTCACTTCTTTCCTACAAACAAAAGCACATATAACATTATGTTTCTAAAAACCGAAAGGTCCACTGATTAATCTCAGATAAGAAAGTATAATACAAACTCCAAGTACTGAAATACACGCCATCATGTTGGGATTCAATATTTCGACATTAATTATGTCATCATCAGGAATGACCATTCCTGATGATGACATGATTAATGTCGAAATATTGAATCCCAACACGATGGCGTGTATTTCAATACTTGGAGTATGTATATACTTTCTTATTATGTTTCTAAATTCATCATAACTTCTACTTGGCAAACTCAAGGCATTTTAATTACATGTGAAGATGCACTTCTTAATTTCAGGAAGCCTTTCTGTATATCTTGTCTGACATCCTGTTATATGGAATGTTCATAACACTGCTTTCTAAATACCGAACAGTGAATTGTCAATGATAGCAAATTATGCAGGTAGATGTTTGAGAGCTTTTAAATTATACTATGCAAAACATGTTTACATGACCTATTAAAATATTATGAATAAAATATAATACAAAATTTTGTACTTAATTATCAATAATAAATTGGATGATTTGAATGTCAAAAATGACCTGTAAATTACAGCTATACTTGAATAAACCCCATAATTGTAATATTTTTTATAAAACCATGAAGAAATTTGGTATTTACATCCATCCTCTACAAAACAATTACATAATTTAAAGTTTCATAGTTGAAGAAAGTTAATGTATCATACATTTACATTAATGTAAATAGAGACAAGAAACAGTCTTTATGACTAATCAGACACAGACTATGTACTTACTCTTGATAATTCATGAACAAGTTTCTTTAGCTGTCCATTATTATTTGCTACTGCTAAATCACTGAGGGGAAAAAAATCAAATAATATAGCTCAATAAATAATTTTCACCAACTTATATTTTATCTCTGTCATGATAATTAGAAAATAATATTTTTAAAGTACAGAAAGAATATTCATTTGAAAATGATTATATCACTTAAAAATGATTTATCTGATATTAAAATCAGCAACATATTGCACGAGTGAAACTCGAAGGTCGACGATTAATTCTGTAATGAAATACCAGCGTACATGACCAAACTGATGCGACAGAGAATCAACTCTGTTAATAATATTTAAATATTACCCTTAAAAGGACTGACCTTATGAAGTTGGTAATGATACATACATAAACAGCTTACTCATTCAAAATTATAATTTTAGCTATCATTAATACCCAATTTAGAATTATATTTACAAATGACAAGAGAGTATATAATTTGGATAACATATTTAAATATACCTGAAAGTTTCACAATGCACCTTAAAGGTGGAAACTTATTTTCTAATTATCTAACAAGCTTATTAAAATATACAAATGATCCCTGTTTGATTATAGTGTACTAGGAAATACAACTAAATTCAATGAGAGCAAAATCCAAGAAATTATGCCAGATGTGTTACAACATTAAATATCTATCAGAAATATATTTATTTAAAAATGAAGCAAAATAAGATAAACAACTTATTGGGAAATTGGAAGTGGAGAATACACTATCATCATTTGGCTCCTGGGGATTCTGGCAAACACAAATTACCATATTTGTATTCCTTCTGGGAAATAATTTAATTAATAAACTTAAATTTCTAGGTACACACTTTGTTTACAACATTAAACCACATCACCATAAATAAATTGTACTGGGAATAGGCAACACCATACCTAGTAGTACACTTAAGCATATTATTAAATTATTTTCTGTAGCTAAGAATAGCATCGAGTTTCCTGCAGGACTCTTTAATGCTGTCAATGAATAATGTATTGAAAAGGACAAATTTGATAAACGACGACATATTCCAAAATTACAGTAGACAAGCTCATGGTTTCCTTAATTTTTTCAATAGGTACACACACAAAATAATTTTTGGTGACCTGTTGCATATTACTTGCATATTAAAAATCTTATAATAAACACACTAATAATAACTGAATAACAATATATTAACGTGGATAGTTCAGCCCAAGAACCTGGTCTTTTGGGACCAATGATTTCTGTATAACCAACTCTCTTTGGGGAGTGTAGATGATTACAGTCATTAATGGAACTGCGGAAAAGAATTTTCTCATGCTGTTAGGTTTATAATTAAACACAAAGAATTTAATTTTGAAAAGGTATGTACTCATTACACAAATAATTTATAATAATTTCCTATTACATATTCATAAGAAATATTAATTAGAGGAATGCGCAAACATTTCTTATGCCAAATTTTTAGGTTTGAAAAAAAACTGAATGAAATGAAAACAGAATTTGTGCTACTTTCACTAAAGTGGTTGTCTCGTTCTGACGGATTAGACGGCTCTATTCTAGACTGCAATCACCTCTTGCCATTTAATCTCTGTTGAATACAACTACTGTAGTAAAAGTGAAATACTGGTCTGTCTGTGTGTGTTTTACTCATAGAATAGAATAGAATGATTAATCAAAAACTGTTTATAATACTAGTTACTATATTATTAGTTATCAAAATTGACTTCACTATTTGTATTATTTTGAATCAATAAAAAATCCAAAACATTACATGTAATTTTTTTAAATAAATGGGTGACTATTCATTACTATTTTTAAAGTAATCTGCATAAATTTAAAAAAGTTGGAAATGTGCAACTACTGATGTGGAACAATGGGATAGACAATTACCATTGGTAAAAATTGGCTCAAGCCTGGATAGGATGCATGATTAAGAATCCCATGATGCACCTGTTTTAACTTCTAGGAAAGCATAGAACATTGGCATAAAGCCTATCTGTCATTCTGATAAGCCTGCATCATCGGATTCCCAAAGGCCGCCCATACAAATAAGCTTAGGTATAGAGTACATTGAAGAGTTGAGCGCTTCAAATATTCAGGTTTTTCAATTATTCTGTGATTGATATCTGGCAGCTTTGGTAAGCTATGTTCAAGTATATACTATACCAGTAGAGAAAAAGCATTAAATGCAAAGATTACTGTATTTAAATATAATATCATAAACCAAAATTGTAAACCCAAAACATACTCATGAGTAGATATTATTTTTTGAAACTATTGATTCGACAGTAAAGATCAATTTAATAAATACTCTTTGTTTCAATTCAGTAATTTAATGGGTAAGTGCTTTTCTTATCGATAGAGAACAAATAAAAGTTGTTATATTTCATTAAATGAAGTGTACATTAATTATATGTAAAAACTAAAGTCTAGATTTTTGGGTTAAGTATACACAGTTTAACTACAATTCATCAATATCATCCTTCAAATTTTGGGTAATTATTCCAATAACCTTTCGAGTAAAAATTACTATTTCGATAATTTTTGTAACCATTAGAAAGTTATCTCACATAGCAGCTTAAATTCCCTTCTTTGTATGAAAACAGGAAGGTACTTAAGATTTTGTCTGCATTAAACACTTGAGGGCAAAATTTTGTCATTTACTTTGAACATTATGTGTGTTTAATTCCCCAGGTAAGGACAAAAATACACACACAAGTCAACAAAAACATAAACAAGGTCTACCGTATGTATTGCAAAGATATGGAAGTCCAATGTTATCAAAGATTGTCTAAAACACACTCAGTGAAACAAAATATAAGCAGATAATGTATTTTTATAAATATCCTGTCTGTTTACAAGTCAAAATTATTAGAATTAAAACACTTTTAACAAATTTAAAAAAAAAGACCAGACTGTAAATGAAACAAAGGAATTTTATAAGGCCTATAATTAAAATATATACCATAACTAATTTTCTTTTTAAACAGATCTTCAATTCAAGACTACTAATTGTCTTGAATCTATTTAATATTGCACAGTAATCAGATCTGTACTTAATTTTACGTTACGTGTCATCTTAGCTTCTTCCTTTTCAATTATCAAGCATTGATCTTTTCAATGTTAATTCTTCAAATCAATATAATTGATGCTGTCCAAATCTGTCTTCAACTGCCAGTTCTAATCTTGCTAATTTTTGAAGAGCAAAGCTCTCTCTGTTCAACCTGTTTCCTTTGCTAAATTCCAATGTTAACTTAAATTTTACTCTCACCTTAATTTCTTATAATCTGAAAGCATTGCAAATCAAGGAAACTTATACAATTCACATACTCAAAAGTTAACATAGATAAAACTTCAGCAGAGGAACTTGAAGCTACGGAAAATCTTACTGCATAGGAAGGTAGTATTATGTAGTATGGTATGCCACAGTATACCTAGCCTTACTGAATGACTAATGCAGGAGTGGGTAGACACTTTATCCACATTTAACAATTTAATATAAAACGTATGACAAATGCAACATGAAACCATTTCAAACTGAAAAACATTGTCTAGTAGTAAAGCCATTGAGGCAGGTTGTTCATCAGTTGTGTTTCTCTAGGGAGGGATGACATACATGACTAAGGTATGACTACTAAATCCCAGGTTTGTGGGTTCCATCAATGATGATGACAATGGTAATAATAACAACATTGATGTTGGGTGATGACAATGAAGGTAATAATGAAAAAATAATATTAAACAGTATATTAAAAAAAAACAAAAACCACCAGATTCAGCCAATGCTGTTCTTTAAAAATCCTTTGGTTCATGTTTTCATGTACCTGTATATTATTAACTGTTGTCAATTAGCAAATTTAATGTAATTTTGTTTAGGTACATGGCTTCAAAAACAGGTAATTATATTCTTGCACACTCCCCAGTAGAATACATATTTTTAATTGATGCTCAATTATAACAATAATAATGTAGTTATTTATATATAGTGCTCTTTACCCATAAACAACAAACACAAAATAAATGTTTAAAAGAATTGAAAAATGAACACTTTCTATCTTTCTCCACAAACGGCTCTGGTATACAATAAAGGAGAAAATCCCTGTACAAATAGGCTACAATGAAGGTACTATAAATCAATATAATATAACACAATATAACCATGGATTATCAGTAAAATGATAAAGCAAGAGCAAGAGTAAGGGAGAAGGCAAATATTCTGCCAATAAAGAAGGAATTTCAATAACATCATCAGATTAAGCTCTTTGACAAAAAACTGTTGTATCTCCATATAGTCATGGTGTGCCTATGTATGGTCATGAAGTGATGTCATAATGGCCATATTTAGGCATGTCACATGTTTTTGTAAAGTAAAATATTATAGTCTGGACAGGGCTTTAGGGATACATACCCATTGGTGGCTCGTGTTGGTGTCTTGGCCTGGCTCTTGTACCGAGCTCCTCCCGATGACCGATACCGAACATCTTTTCGTCCCATATAATTTCGTTGAAAGGAAGGTGTTAATTCATTTTGATCCATAATATTATCATTCAGTCTATCTACAGATGCTACTTTACCATTGTGGTGGTCACTTCCTGAAATGTATGCAAACAAATGTTGTTAGTTACAATCGATCACCTTATTTGGATAAAATATGATAATGGTAAATTTCTTTTAAAAGTAAAAGTAATAGAAAAAGTAATAATAATTAATTAATTTAAACGGATGGTAAAAATTTATATAGCTGTTTTTTGTTTTTTTTTTAATCTTAGGTAAGCTGAGGTGCTGTATATCATTATTATAAACTGAATACCAACAATTTAATATTAAGTTTAAAAATAAAATATTACTTTGTATAAAAGGTGTTCTTAATGAGGCCAATATTGGAGTTGCCAAAAACATTGGCATGTTTAGTAGTTATCAGTACTATTGATAAGCAGCAAGTCCATGAAAAAATGCTCCAATGGTCAACAGAGGCATTGGATCTATCAGCACTCAATACGAAAAAATCTCCATAATCAAAACTTAATACGACGTTTGGATGAAAAATCTGTTTCATATTCACTGTTAACTATCTTAATGAAGGGACAATTAAATGCACTTGAAACCATAGTGGTCTTGGGAATAAATGCATTGAAATATTAAAGTAGAGTAGGAAATGACTCTAAAAACCTTAACAACACCCAACATGCTATTCACGAAATAGCAACATGATAATATTCTCTTCAGTCAGTGGCGGATACATGAATTTCAAATAGAGGAGGCCCAGGAAGGTATTTTACGGATGGAGGGTTAATACCCCCACAACGACTGGGGTTGAGGTACATTTTATGGCTATGGTACTCTAAATAGCCAACAAATTACACTTAAATTTTTAATTCTCACACACCACACCCACTCCCTCCACCCCCCCCCCCCCCCCCCAAATTATATTTTTAATTTTCAATCTCTGTACACTAAATTCTGTCAGAAATATAGCTAAACAACTTGGGGTAAAACAGACCGTAGGCTGAATATTAATTTTGAATAAAGATTGGAAACATATTTAGCGCAATAATTCTAAGCAATTCAAGACACACTTTAACAAAAAAAAACCCCTAGTTTTGTATTTATATACAAGGCACAAACTCAGTAATTATTACAATGATTATAACATGTCTCTTATACACATCTACACAGATATATTGTAGCATACAGGGACGGATCCCGAATTTTTAGGCGGGGAGGGGGGGCACAACTTTTTTTTTGATATGTAGCAATTATTTCAATACATAGCATTGAAATTTTAAAATTGATTACCAAAACGGGGGAATGTGCCCCCCTGCCCCTACTGGATCTGTCCCTGTAATAGATATAGAATTACTGCAAAATCAATAAACCATGCATTCTTCATGAAAACAATAATTTATATTTCATTATAAAAATCACATTTCTAAAACAATATCTCGAGTTCACTGAATCTTTAGTTATCAAGGTTATTTATTTATTCATCAAATCAAATTTTAAACAACTGTAAATTTATTGTACTGCTGACTCAATCATGCTTGCTAATGCTTATATACTAAAGATAATACAAAAATTACAACATAATACTGAAGTATTCTTTTGAATAAGACAAAATATTTCAGACATTATTCCCATGCACAAACAGTGGGTAATAAAATCCTTACCTTGATAACTAGTTAGTAAAAGTTTTTCTTTAATATGCAATAAAAGATAATTAGCAGAAGGATTTCTTCTTAATTCTAAATTTTAATTAAATGGTCATAATTTGCTTACATATCAAAAGCAAGCAATCCAAATATTACATTTTTCCGAAGTATTTTAGCTCAATAGACAGTATATCCTTAACAAAATAAAAATCAAAAAAATCTTTTGTTTTTTAAAATTATAAGGATATGAGCTAAAGCTGATGTGAGTTGACATTATTGACTGCGAGATCAATATTGGTTTATTAATTCAATTTTCATTTTTCTTATCTGATGTACTCAGCCTAATCTCAATATAATACAACTGCTAGTTTCTTTAAAGAGATCATTATAGTAAATATGAAAATGATAGCAAATAGTAAAGTTAGTAAAACTACTAATACAAATACCAACCATAAACTATAAAATATATATTATAGCAAAATACTATAGCAAATTATTTTACTCTCAAAAAGAAGTTAACTGATTGCATGCAATCGCTGAAAATCAACATAAAAACCCAATTATGTGGAAATTATATATTAAAATCTTTTTTAAATGAGTAAACATATCATATGACAGAATTAGGCCACATAAGGCACTGCTTAAGCTGGGATATGACTAAAAAATATTAATCATGAACTTTCCAAGCACTCTTCAACAGAAATTTTAACCTACCGTCGCAGGGCAGATGGTAAGTTCCACGTTGATAGAAAGTTTTAAAAATGTTTAGCCTCATATTTGCCTGTGAACCTCCAACTCACACCTAGCCAGATAGTCTAGCAAATGACTAAACCGTGGTCCACACAAGTATGGTCTGCTCACTGGATTGCACTGCACTGGAAATATTCACTGTTGTTATGACTCAGAGTGTAGAGCGAACAGCCTTCAACTCGAGGGGTGATCAAATACAGCGAATCATCTCCATGCATACTTTTAATAGGCAACCAGTGGGGTTTGATGGTAGAGAGCCCTTATTCTAAACTGACTGCAGTGATAAACCGGATATTCAGGCAAAGAAAATTGTCAGATCTATTTATTTAAGAAATGTTTTGATGTATGTCAGTGTGATATTTGCTAGATGACAAATCATAATGTAGAGGGTTTTGTTAATATTCTAACTTGTCAAAAAAATTGACTGTCATTTGTATTGTTAACAACATGAAGGAACAATTGAAAGATGATTGTCGTATGGGTAATAATCTTAACTTTATTGTTAATGTGAAAATATTAGCCAATAATACAGAATTTTATCATACATTTCTTAGTAAACTTATCCTTAGAAAGAGGTGCATCAAGAGCGGAGTTTGTTTTGCAAAAAACATCTATGCAGTGGTAAAAAAAAAAATGTAAAATCTATTGGCTAATATTTTTTGAGTATGTGAGGTAAGAAAGTATATTTATGGCACTGTTAGACCATCGATTGTGCACATGGCCATAAATAGTTCAGTAATTGAACTGATAAATGTTTTATTTATAATTATTTCATTATGAGGAAGAAATCACTATTTTATATTGGGAGATTTCAAGGCGGCAGCCTGTGAGACAACATTGTTGAACAGATCACTGACCAAAGAATTCACTTTTAAGAAAGTATATTTATGGCACTGTTAGGCCTTTGCTTGTGCAGATGGCCATAAATAGTTCAGTAATCAAACTGATAAATGTTTTATTTATATTTATTTCGTTATGAGGAAGAAATCACTATTTTATATTGGGAGATTTCAAGGCGGCAGCCTGTAAGACAACATTGTTGAACAGATCACCTACCAAAGATTTCACTTTTTAACCACTGATTGGCCCTATGAGTGAATGAGTGGCCAAAAATACAATTTATTTATATTTTCAAATCATTATTATTGACAAGCAGCGTGTTCTGGAAAAAGATGTAAAAATTCTAAGTCTTACCTACGGTAATCTTAATGATTTACTTTAGACTTTAAAATTCACACTGGCTTTATGAAATTAGATATTAATCATTTATAAAAACGTATAATTTGTTTATTGCATTAATACTCTCAGTTTATTTCTTGAAACAGAAAATAAATTTTGCATTCTTTAACTTAAATTTTAAACAAAAGAATGTGTATTGTCAAGAGAGATTCTCAAACTTGGTACAACACACACAGAACAAGCTGCACTACAGCCGCTAAATACTGGAAAATCTCAACAGGAAATCGTTAGACAATGTCTTGTGACGCACACACGCACACACTTGAGAGCTGGCTACGAATTTCATTTGTGATGAGTTTGATGGCTTATAAAATCAGAAACAGATTCAACAGGAAGAACATGTTTAAAACATCCATCAAATCACAATTCAGCACAGATCAATGGGCGTTAAAACATCATCTATTAATAGCCAGTGATAATGAAAAGCATCAACAGAATTAAACCTAAAACTTCATCAATTCTTTGGCCCTAGTATTTTCAGTTATATTAATTGTAGTATACTGAATCTAGATCGTTGATTAAATGTTTCCTTCCTGAAAAAAACAATTATTCTTCCCATCCAACTAATGAAGGAATAATAGACCAGTTTATTGAATGGCCTGAATATAATCACCATAATCAAATAATAATGAAAATACAGACATTTCTAACCACATTATTCTTAGATATCTAGAGCATTATACCCAAAGTCTAAACAAAGAGCTATGTAAAAAAATTGCACCGATTTCTGTTCATTAAGAAAACAATTTTTTTTTTCAAACACATTAGGAAGTTGCTTTTCTTGGCACCAGTAATCTAAGTACCACACTTCTGATTTGAAATTTTTAGAAACAAATTTGAGATTGTTCCATGCTTGTCAGACACAAGAGTATTTGTCCTAATCTGATAAAATAAAAAAAGGGCTCAAATGAATTAACTGATAATTTGCGAACATAAATAAACTGAACTTCCTGAAGCATAAACAACAGTACAAACCGTTACAATTATGTCAGGATACGCTGGCTAAGAGACACTGAAAAATATGATCTTGGACAGAAGCAGGCTTTGATAACTAAACAAAATCATGAACCTATTAGCAACCACTCACAAGTACGGAAAAACATCCTCAGATTTTATTACATAATAATTAAAAAGAGGTGAAGAAAACAGATTGAAGCTTTCGGGACACAAGTGAATTCACCATCAACTCACCTGGAATTACCAGACAGTTAAACATTGCTTGAAAAAATGAACGAAGTGAAAGCCACCAGCAACTCCGGCAGGACTATAAACCTGCTAAATCATCATGACTATAAATTATAATGCCTACCTTGATGCCAATGCTAAATAAAAATTTGAAAAAAATCGAATATATTAGGAAAGACATAGAAAAAAGTGAATTAAGTAGACTGTTATAAAGTTTATAAGTAAAAGATGTGCTATAAATAGTTTTACTACTGGCATCATGGCTGTAATTACAGTGTCAACTTCTAACACCAATCACATCTACATTTAAGTGTCTCTTAATTCAAAGAACTCATAAGCAATGTAATCTAAAAACAATTTTCAATGCCTAATTAGTAAAAAATAATTTGGTTTGATGAATAGGCAATATATAATAAAAATATTCTTTAAAATACAGTATTAATATCTTTTAATAATAATAATAAATAAAAAATAACAAACTACTTAAATCAGAGAGTGCATAGCTCTGATTCCACAATTGCCAATTAAAAGTAACAGTTGTTCTAGTTAGACAACAACGTAATCAGTTGAGGCTAGACATCAACCAGCACACCATTTTGAATAAATCAGGCCAAAACGTGACGTGAACTATACACAATGCTAATCCCAAAATTAATTTACAGTCACGAGTTGACCGTTGGCGATGACTGCATTTTGAAGTAGTTCCTCCGCAAGATTCTGACAGGTTTACGTGACGTGTTTATGAATCGCAGTTATCTCTGTTCGACACAACTTACCAATCATGGTTCATTATAGATTTATGGTAAGGGCAAATCTTGCTGACACCAAACAATGATATCAATAGCACAGTTGGCCTCAATGATTTAGCTAACTTGACCTTGTTCATTACAACTTCCAGGTCAAAGAAATCAGGATTATAAAATATTGATTAATTACTTGTCTAATGGTTTTTGTATTACTCAATAGACTAATACTTTATTATTATTATCAATTTAAGATTTGTTATTAGTAGATAATGTGAAAATAAAACCATTTATTAAAAACTAAAAGAAATGTTCCCCTTTCCCCCACAAAATTATTTGTTAAATAATATCAAACTACATCAAGATACATAGAACTTGCATCTTAGAACTTTTTTCAGCTTTTATATTGCAGTATATTTCGGGTCATTTAGATACTAGGTTGCCTTGCTGGGCATTTGGCAGACGATCAGAGAATAAATAAATATCTTCAACAAACAGGAATTGCAGTTAGCTGTACAGCTATTAGAAGATGTCCATATATATTGCAATACAATATTCTAGACTTAGTAACTTTTTCATTAAAAAAAATTGTTATGTTTTAGGACTGATATGATTCCTACAAAAAATACTTTGATTAAAACTTTATTGTCATTAGATATTTAAGTTACAAAGTTAAAGATCATATGATGCACAGAGATGTAAATGGATATGTTGAATATAATCTAGAAATTAAAAAGGATCTGGAATGGATATATTTTCAAGATCACTGAAGAGGATCTAGAATGGATTTGTTGGAAACAACCTGGAAGTGGATATATAGAACAAAGTAAAATAATTTTAAAAAGATATTTGGCAAATATTTAATTGAATTTGCTCCTCTCACCTTCAAATGCTTTACTTGCTGTTGCTACAAGGTTTTGCCAGTCTAAATGTGAGGCATTGTCTGGGAGGGGGAAGACGGTAGGGGTTGATCCGGTTTGGCTAACTGTGTCTGGATCTGTAAATGTAATAAATAATGACTCATTTTATTGCCAATTTCCTTTTCATTAAATGTTTTAAAACCTTTGTTTACTCTTACCAGCAAGTGCAGCCAAATTATATTAACTGGATTTTTTTGTCTTTTAAATTAAAAATCATGGTTCAATAGAAATTACGGAAATATCCATCTAATCATCTGTTCATTAAAACAATTTTTTTTTCTTCAAAAGTGTATCTCTTCAAACAAGATTGAAGGGACAAAGGTGCACATCAATTAGATTAAGATATAACAAATAGGAAACCACATCTGGTGAGGGAGATGTTAAGAAAGAAGTACCATCAAGTAATTTGGTCTCTTAAAAAAGTGTATACAAAAAGGTGTTATTATTAATTATTAATATCATAAACAGAATATAAATTCATCAACATCTTCAAAACATTAACGCAATTGTCATTCATATTAACATAACTGACATCCATCTATTGTCATCAACATTAACAAAATTGCAATTATTAACATCATCAACCAGTCCAGTCATAAACACCATAATGGTAACAAGGTATCTTTCAACTTACAGTTGATTCATTCATCCTGCATAATTCTATTCATGTGCTTTGCAGACATGTAACTAATCAGGAGAAAATATCATCATCACTGTCATCATGACATTCAAAAAAATATTTTCAGGAAAACCTTGAGGCCAATCAGAGTGAGAAAAAAAAGCCACAGGTGCACGAAATAACCACACACACTCAAAGAAGGTAGAGGATACTTAAAAACAATGAAACATAAAGATCAAATCATGAATGCATTTTCCAAAGCTATGTCATGAAGCAGCAGTAGACATGAGAAGATTAAAGACAGGAACTGTAAGCCTATATGATGCAATCAAAAATAAACATAAACACAACCACAACTTAATCTAACACATTAATCCGAGACAGGTGGTCATGCAAAGGAGAAAAAATCCGGCCACAACATGCAAATGTGACAGTGCTCGTAAAATGCTATATTACTTTCTGAAAAAGGCGACATCGGGAATCTGCAAAAATTTAAACTTTCTTTGATGAAAAGTGTTGCAAGATCTGGAAGGCAAATTGACACTATATTTAAATCAAATCCTTACAAACTAATTCAAGACAATCGTAGTGAGTAAAATAAAATTTGAGTAAAAAAATAGATTGGTATAAAAAGTAATTATTGTAGGAAGATGATTATTTGAGGACAATTCAAATACAGAAACAGCAAGAGGAGAATTACAGTCCAATTGTGCACTTCTCACATGCTATATTAGTGGCATGTTTAGTCAAAGAAAAAAACAGCCCAATATACTCACGAGTTTTGTGAAAAAGATGGAGGGAACATTAGATAAAATTTATGAGTGTAGAGGTTGTTGTTACAAAATAATAAAAAAATAAATATAACAAACTAATATATAATTCTAGAAAATAAATCCAATCAGTATAGGGTCAAGCAGAATTTTTACCAATTCAACCAAAAAGTTTTAATTTAGAAAATATGGAATCATAAAAATTGTAGATATGATGAGACAGAAAATAATAAATAGGATAAGGGAATGGGATAGGTGATCAAGCATTGCTATGTAACATAAAAAAATGACAAATAAACAATGTGTCATTTGTGCTGATGAAGAAAAAATTGTGTGCAATTAAATACTATCAAATTTTAATTGACAAAAGAATGAAACATGCCACAATATTGTCATAATAGATAGATTTTAAAATTTCTATAGCACCGGCTAAAAGATGACATCACATCAAGACCACATATGGGAATACCATACTTTTTTGTCATAGAAAATTTAATAGTTGTGAAGAGAGATTGCAATGAATTTGATACATATATTTAATGTAATAAGAGCAGTAAATAGTCCAAAATTATTTATAACAACATAGTATTGCCGACTTAATCAAAAACTGCCACCTAATATGAATATAAAACTTTAAAAAAAAAATTCTTAATTTTTATACTTTAATTATTAGCTAAATCATTAGAAAAATGTCTCTAATCAATTAACAAACATTTATGTAGTCTTTACATAACCCCTACTTTCTGATGGAAAGTTAAAGGATATTTATAGTAAAACTTAAGTAGCTCCTCTTAATAAGAAATTAGAAAACAAATTAAAATTTTTGAGGCTTTTTATATAATTTTTTTTTTTTTTGAAAAATGAATTTTTTAAGAGAATGAAGATATGTTTAAAAAAAAATATTTTCTTATAGTTTCAATTGAAAGGTAATAACTTACTTACAAAAAGTAAGCAATGCAAATACTGACTTTCACTGGTTTTTTTTATGTCATATGTGATTAAATCATTTAATTTATCTTGAGAAATACAACATAGCAAAATATAACTAATCATAACAATACAATTCACGATTAAAAGCATTAGCCAAAAAACCTGAAGGGATTACTTGTAAGTATTAAGATGTCGCTATCCAAATGAAATTACATGCACAATAACAAATATTCACTTTCAATATACAGTAGATTCATCATTAAAATATAACTTTTCACAATTTTTTGAATTATTGAGTTTTTATCAATTTAAAGTGTTTAATTTAAACAGTAGTCTTTGAGAGTCAACTAAGAATAAGAGTAAACCAAAATGGAATTTATCTTTACATCTACAAGTATTTTATTCCCAATTTGGGAAAGTGAATTCTGTGTATTTTAAAGCCAGGCTCCGGAGCAAAAAATATTAGATAAGTTGTACGAATGACATTATTTTCCTTCCAGTTCAGAGTCCTTCAGTGTCTTACAAAACTCATTTGTACAACATAATAAACATCTTTTCCCTGGAGCCTGCCATTAATGAATTTGTTCTAGAAAATACATGAGTGAATGTAATAATGTATGTTGTGTCCACATATATATATATATTAGCTTAATATAGTGAGAGTACTATATTGCCTATGAAACTTTGTTGAGTAATAAATTAAATGTATATGTGCAAGCTTTTATGAAGAATGATGTTGCAGTGTGCTCAAAAAAAAAAAAAAAAAAAAAAAAAAAAACCAGCAGAGCAAAATTTTGAAAACTAATAATGCAATGGAAAAAATGAGGAAAAATGCATGAAATCAAACAAAACATCTGTAACAAACTATGACCAACATCACAGATACATACTCTGTTTTTCTCTTTGAAGTCGACGCACTTAGTTGGTAACAAAAAAAAAAGACAATGGTTGTTAAAATATGTGTGAAGCATGCATCTATGTGCAAGACACAAAAATATTGGTATTATTTTCTATTCTAACAATGAATTCTAACTTTCATCCCTGCAATGATTTTTATACTAATTCCTCTAATATGGTGAGCAACTTAACAACTCCAATTTATTTACAATGTGTAACAGTTAAATTTTCTTTCCAAAAGCATGCATTCACTTTGACATGAATCACAACATGTGCCCTACCTCGAACTAGGGCCGGGAAAGCTGTGTTGAACATTGACTCATTTGATGGTTCATGGTCTCCCAACTTCTTGTATGGCCCACCTCCTGCTGCAATACTTTCATCGGATAGTGTACGCTGTAGGCTGGACCATGTTGAGTTGTTTGATTTGCCTGGGTAAGTTGCAAGGGCCTGTGATGTGTGCTAATAAAAACCACAATAATCAAGTGTTGGACAGAACATTTCGTATCAAAACATTATGACAACTGTGAAAATCACAACATTTGCATAAATCAATTTCAATCAATTTAAAGGGTAAACAATAAAGCTGAAACTGTTAACTTTTGCCTACAAAAAATAAACAATTTATAAATAGACAGGCATTATTAATCTTCTGTTTTGTAAGGAAATGAAAAGACTAAAATTGAAATAATTTAATTTAATATTTTACCAGAAATTTAGTAATTCTTTATTAATCATTATTTTGATGTGTACTTTTTTGTTTTCCCTATCTTCCTAAAAAATAGTTAAATATTGCATTATATTATCCTAATTGTTTCTTCCTTATTTCATCATTTATCATATAATTACATGATTTCCATATATGCTATTCTTCCTTATGGATAAGTGGGAAACGAAACCACTCAGCAATAGCAGTTCACAAGAACTAATGCAATCAACACTAATAACACAGGTTTTAAATGAATATGAATTAAGTGTGATTCATATCACACCAAAATTCACCAAGTGAATAGTTTAATACAAGTTAATGAGAAAGTCTATGCCAAAGCTATTTTTAGAATTTTCAGTTAGTAAAATGAAATTAATGAAAGATTACGATGAACGAAAGTTGAAAAATGTTAATTCTTTCCAAGATTGAATTATATGCTTGTAGGAAATTATTAGTTTAAGATAAGTGATAATTAAATGTTAAACTGAAACATACATAATGGCATGCATGTTATGTCAAACTTTTTTGTTAATGTTTTAGCAAATCTCAGAAATGTATTCAATTTAATAATTATTAATAGAAAAATATAACTTGAGCAAATATCTGGTCATTTTTTAAAAGAAAACCAAAATAAAAATTGAACAATTATCTAACATTTGATGGCCTAATTATAATGGAAAATCAATACCCTGATAATTTTATACAAATTTGACACACAAATATTGTCACCAGAACCTTATCATAAAGTAGATGGTGCTATTATTATCATTTACAACTGTCACATAAAGTTAATATTACCAACTTATTATTTAAACTTTAGAAAAATATTAATTAAAAGGATAATTATAACTTTGCTAATCAGTATTAACTTCTGACTCATGATTTTACTATATATTGCAATCAATAATGAAAGGTTTGTCTCCGTATGAGGACAACTAACCCTTGTGGTTTTGTTTCACTTCGCAGTCTTCATGTATTTTTGTGATATTTACCTAGAACTGTAAATGTGTCCCCCATTCATTGACGTGGAGATGATATAAACTTGGCGTCTATTAATAGCAGTTCATTACTTTTAGAATGACAGGCTTGTGCAACTGCCAAGAGCAATTGGCTAAGTGAATTTTATAATTATTTCTAAAAAATTATTTTTGATTCTTTGTGAACTACCCAAAAAATTCAGCATGCCAGGAGGTATAATCTAGACAAAGACATACACATATACTGTAACCTGGTTAGCAAACTGAGAATGTTTAGTTGTGTATTGTGAAGCGATATGAACTGAAGTTGGTACAGTACATAAATGCGAATTAAAAGAGCTAACCTCTGAATACTTTTTTATTATATTGGGCCTACAAATAGAAGTGCTTGTAAAGCCTGGATTAACTGTTATTATGAATCCTATATACATACTACATGCTAGTTTGGTTATCAAGATTTGTATTTTATAGGCATACAGTTCAGATATATATTTTAGTAAATTTAGTAAATGAGTAATATCACTTGTAGCAGTAGTTCCTATAATGTTGGATTAACACAAGAGTAGTGCCACAAATTATTTCATAAGCAGACTAATCCAAGTGTATTAGTCAATCAGTTTTTATGTATATTTTTGAAATGCCTGCTGTGAATAATGTCAATCGCAGTTTCTTTTTAGACAAAACTACTTAAAATAAATGATTTGCGTGGGAAAATATGTCTGACCTATTAAACAAATAGATCTGTAATCTCTCTCATCCGTATTTCCATAAAGTCACAATTACCAAATTAACAACACAGTTTGTATCTTAATTTTGATAATTTATATAATTCTTATACTTACAACTGGGAACAGACTGGTATTAATAATTAATAAATTAATTTGTAAAACAAACATATATTTATATCTATCTAAAATATGATATAGTTTATTATTTATTAATGGGGTTGTAAAAAGGGGCCCACTGAAGCAGTGATTTTTGTTCACTCAGTATCCACATCTGACATTTTTCCCATCATTTTCCTAATTGTTTTAATACAAATTAATTTTAATCTATTGTTACAAATGTATGAAATTCAATTTCCTTTTGTTAACTAAAAATTCTTCCGGCTTAGTTTATTCAATAGTGTTTCTTTTTCCACTAACAATAAAATTGCATCAATGACAATAAAATTAGTAAGAATAATGAGGTATTTTTATACCAAGATCGAAGTAGTAAATAAGGATTAATAATGAATGGTTAGGTATGAGTTAAATTTGTTCAAAAATATAAAATTGAACCAAAGAAATGTAATAATGAAATTTTAAATCCCAAGGAATACATAGTAAGTTTGTAGTTGAACCCAGAGTGAAATCAAATACCCAACAATAGTAAAGGGTCAAAAATAAAACAGTTCACATCTGCCCTGGTAAGCTGCACTTTCCTTTTCTTCTTCATTTTATCATATGTTTATCATTTCAGTAAGACAACCACATACTTGAACCAATAGATGTAGCACCACCGCTGGCATTTCAATGAAAATTGATTAGTTCACAACAAAAGTAACAATGATAACAATGAAAAGCTCTGGGATGACTGTATCACTAGTGCCAAAAACATTACAAACTATGATCCTGAAATTTGGTCCAATACTTGAACCCTTTATGACCTTCCTTTTAAAGTGGTGCAGAAATGTGAAACTTTTAATTGTCACTAATTGGAATGATTACAATCTTTTATCTTGTTGCCATTCAATGCGTTATTTGGTGCACCTTGCTATTGCTAACAGTTCCATAATCAAATTTCCCATGGTGCAATAAAGTATACCTGACCTCCTTGAAATCACAGTTGTTTTTGGGATTGCACCTTTCAACGAAAGGGTAAGACATTGCCAGGAAATCCTGTGATGTTTAAACCAAATACGTCAGGCAGATTTAAGACTGCACATCAACAAACTGTGTGATAATGTGTACCTGTGCAAGGACAGGATGTCAATTTAAAGACACAACATGCATTTTCAATTAGCACTATACATGCAACAGCCTTATCAACTAATTTTCAATCAACAAGGGGCCACATTCACTAACATTTTTTTCCCATAGCAGTTTCATTTTTAAGCATAAAAAATATCACGGACTGGCTGTGTTAGCATTTATAGGTTGGTTTTTTTTTTTTTTTTTGCATATAAAGCATGAAAATCTTCAGAGCTTTTCATTCAATAGCTTGCTTGCATGCAAAATGACAGGTTAATTACCAATGCAGGTGAGTAGGCAACAAGCGTTTGGCGGAATTGAAATGAGCATGTGCGGATTGGTGGCCGGGGAGGTGCAGGTGATCGAGAGTTAGAAGAGCAAAAGGAGGACCATTCACTCTCATTCTCTACCTCGCTATCCAGATCATTTGTGCTAAGTAGGCGCCGTAAGTCCTCTTGTAACGAAGACGCTGGTTTGGTTGGTTTGGTAACACCTGGCCTGAGACGACTGGACAACGACTCATTTGATGATTGCTTAGGATCAAGAATTTTCCTGTTATAATGACAATAATTAATGATTAGTAAATAAAATGAAAAACTACTATTGTTATTGTTTTAATATTTTAATGGGAGTAATGGTCCTGTTAGAATTTGATTTCTTTGATGTGATATACACCAAGGTTAACCCACAAAAGTCCATACCAGGGATCCTTCTGGTAGTGAACTGGGCAGTACACCAGAATTTCTTGCTTTTTTTAATCACTTTCTCTAAGGTGCACATGAGCCATATTGCCACATGGGACCAACAGCTTAAACCTCTCATTTGAAAAATGGTGTGCTATTGAAACTTTGCTATTTCAACCCTCCAGCTGAAAAAAAGGAGAGTAGCAGATTAAATTGAACAGGGTAAAGATCTCCATGGTTGATTTGTCACTGTCATTTATACAAACTTTTCTATATAAATAAAAGGATATGATCAGAGTATAAAAAGAACATAATCTTCTATCTACTAGAAGCTGCTTCCAATTAAAATCATACGGTGAAAGTGATTTATCAGTTTTTTCACTATGTTGAGTTAATTAGTTACAAACAGTCGGAGGTGCTTGTGAAGTATCACAAACGAATGACTAAGCAGTAAATGTACGAGAAGAAATATCAATTAGAAAGTGATATTTATCATTTTAATGAAAGAACATGTGACGCTTATCATTAAAACATTTCTGTAGTATGATGCAAACTAATTATAACCGATCAATTACAATCGGTTTTAGAGTATTTTTAATCAATAATGTAAATGTGAAAGAACCAACTAATTCATTCTTGCTACTCTACCTTCTGGCCTGCCTTGGACTATTAGCATCACTTAAGCTGCTACTTGACGAGTGGTTGGTGGTATTTCCTCTTAAACGCTGTGAACTATACTCCCTCGTTCCACGCATTGGACTATTTCTGTGATCAGGGCTGCGGGGGCGTACAGTTGTTGCATGATGTCTTGTAATTACTGGGCTTTGTGATGGTGATTGTTGCCCTGGTCTGGATACCCGAAGACTTCCACTGAGATCTCGATGGCCTGACCCACTAGATTGAGTTGAATGATCGCTAAGATTTGAATTGCTTGGAATGTGTAATGCATCGTAAGTGTTTGAACGTGGAACACTAATGTCAAATGTAAAATCTTTCTCAGTCCTCCGATATGATGGACTTTGACCCGGGCTGTACCTTTCTGGAGGTCCATAATTTATGTGATCAAGATCTTTGTAGTCTCCGTGGAATCCTTGTGGATCTGGCAGCATTGGTGGACCACTACCATAACCTGGATCAACTAGGCTATCTTTAGAAACAGCCCTGGTGCTGTCATGGTAACCTGAATCAGCATGGTAACCATCATCATTAGTGTCATCTACATCATACCATTTCTCTTCATTTGCATTCATTAAAGTATCTCTACTGCCCTGAAATTAAACATGGAAAATATTTATAATTCAAATTAAGAATAGTACATACCTATCGACAATGATAACATGTCAGAATATTTTCATGCACGAGTATGGTAAATCAATTTTTAGAACTCCTTAATTATTTTGTTTCACATCTTGACATTTTGCAATACATTCCAGGATCAGCAAATGTGACCTTCTCTTTGTATGTTATATATAATTATACAAAAGAAGTAGTCACACATATGGCATGATAATTTAACTCCTCCTTCTTACCTGAACTGCTGCATTAACTGTTCTGTACTTCTTAGTGTTACTGTATGGTGATTCACCCCTATTCTGATTGAAATTTGTTGGTGTTAAAACTGCAAAAAACATAGTTATATTAAAGATTGATAAGAGCAATATAATGTAAAATACACATTGTAGATTGGCATAAATGTGTTTAGCAGAGGTTGCAAATCCTACAATTTGACAGAAGGAAGTGTTTGTTGACAGAATGACAGTGGAAGAAAAATATTAATACAGGTCTCCTTCTAATTAAAGACCCCCTCTAATTAAAGATAACCTCAAATTAAAAGCCAATTTACTGTGGTCCCAGATTAACTAATTATTATTCTAATTACACACCAAAGAGAGAGACCTGTATCAAAAAATTATATTAACTAACCTTCCATTTCAGAATCTTCTTTAGATATTCTACGTCTATGATTTGATACATCTGCTTGTCTGTACGGTCTGTTTTCTCTACTGCCCCGATGCTCCATTAAATTTCTACTGACTTCCTCTCGCGACATCCTCTCTAAACTGCCCAGTCCGGAGCTATCAGAACCATGTTGATTGCGCTGAAGTTCTAAGGAGACCTGACGAAGATGCTTTGCTTCTTCATCAATTATAAGGCCGGTCCTTGCATGGTCTAAATGCTCATAGTCACCCGCAACCTTCCCTTGAGGTGCCTGATCATCAGCCGGAGAGTACTCGGTTGGTAGTCTCTGCCATTGTGTGCCACGCGAGGGGCCATTGGAGTTAACAGCTGGAGAAGTTGTAGTCCTGGCATGAACTCTTTGAGAACTATAATCTAAAATATAATTTTTAAAGCAGCAGTGAAATGAAACATTAATAATAATTTACATGATTTCATCTATTTCATTTTGGGACAAGTAGTTTACAGTTAATCAATCAATCAAAGTTATTTTTTTTAGAAACTTCCATCTTTTATTACAAAAGTAATTATCATGAAGTTCAAAGACAGGTAAGTATCAAAAGGCTGTAGAAAAGGGATCTTAAATTGGGGGTCTATTTAAGGGAGACCTACATTTTTCTTCATATAATTACCTTAAATTTTCCACTATGGTTTCATAGCCTATTAACAATATAATGTTCTGCATTTAATTGTAAGAAATGATGTTAAAAGATAACAAATAACTGGGTTTTATTTTCTTAAATTTCATCCACATCTAACAGCAAGTAACTTGCCAATTACAGGAGGGATGATGATTTATAAACCGATTCTCTTTATGAGGCTTTGGGAGTGGGGTTGTTAATCGTTGTGAGAAAATCCTGCCACCACTAACCTGTTGAACTTCAAATATAAGTATGTACAAAGGTCAAGTAGAAGAATGATGCAATATAATATACCTTTGTCTTTGCTTCTAGATCCACCCCCAACAGAATGAGACCGTTTGCCTATGGACTCCCTGCGACCTACACTTCTCGGAACTCTACTCTCAGATGGCACATACTCTGATGACATCTGACCTCTATAAAGCCAATAAATACAATTTAACGTTAAGCATTAAACTGAAAACATAGCAAACTTACAAGAAAGAAGCAAATGTAAGTCATGACAACAAAAACATGTTAATCAATATAGAAAAATTTTTTAAATCAACGTTCCGCAAAGTATGGTCCACGATTCAAATTTGGGCCGAGAAACATTTTTGGAGGGCCGCGTATACGATCTTTGCTTACGCCGCACTATACAATCTTTGCTGACAAGCTTAAGCTGACAAGTACTGTACATATGTGTGGAAAATCCCTGATAGATCATTCTGGGCATGCGCATGGACATTCATGGGCAGTTTTGAAGTAGCCTGTGATGATATGATGGTAGCTTTTACGAAAGTGATATTTCCCATGCCAAAGACAACGATAAAACGAACGCTAAAACAAAATTTATTCGGCGATTTTCTTATGTAAAACTTATGTATTATACTACACAATTAAATTAATACAAATACGACCATTCTTTCACCAGCAATATATTGATTTAATAGAGAAATTAACAAAATCACAATCTGTAGATGACGATGTAAGGTCGAGCGTTCGTAAAAATCGTAGTTTATACTGTATAGGCCTAGGTAGTAAAAAATTGCAGAGGCTGCCAACCTCAACGGAGAAATTAAGGTCGGCAAATTTTTGCCGACCTAATTTTTTCCAAATTTCATGGGCTGCTATATATACTTTTTTCATACCGCTGACATAAAGGAGCTTTTCGTTGATGAGCTATGCTTGGTACCATTTAGTACATGTTCCCATTCAAGCAATTTTGTTACTATTTATCTATTTGTATTTAGGTACGTATGAACAATGTATGTACATTGTATTATTATTTTATTATAATGTTATTATAAACATTTAAAAAGTTACTCTGCTTATAATAATATAAAAAATATCGTTTTTTATATTAAGGTAAGTATATAAAGAAAACAGCAAAAAAACTTATCAATGCATAACATATGCAATATTTTATACACATTATATACTTTAGTGTTTAAAATTTTTACACCAGAAGGAAAAAAGATGAATAGACAAACATTGGTTAAGTATAAAACAAAAAAATGGTCATATACATGAAAAAATAAACACCAGTGATAGAAGATTAAACTAACACTATGAAAATTAAAATCAGTGAACGCAAAGACCAAAATAAGGCTAAAAATATTTTGCATGGAGAGTATCAATAACAAAATAATTAAACTTTCGGTACACAGTGTGTAAGAATATGGTTTTTAAGGTAAAATCACTGGTTGACTGTCGATGTTTCGGCAATAATTAAAACAATTATAATTATAGATGATTAAACACACAAAACAATCAATAAAAAACAAAGCTGAGTGGTTGATGCGAAGTACAGATGCATTTGAGAAAAGTGTATTGAGTTTAAGGGTAGTCTAAGCCAAAGCCAAGATTCTGTGCAGGTCATCAAGCAATTAATGTCAGAATAATGATGATAACTATAATTGGAGTTAAAGGGCACAATACTTACTTCCTAGTGCTTCCATCGTCATGTGGAGGTATCACCACAACCTTTACGGTTGCCGAGGTCCTCAAAAGGTCGATCATCTGGTCATGGGTCAAGGTGCAAACGGCAACTTTACATATCTGTAAAAATGGACAAATGTTCAATAAAATTGACTCAATCTTTACTGAAATTACTTTATTAATGTGGACTGTCACAAAAATCTGAAATTTAGCAAAAATGATGTGTACCACAATTTACTTCTTGTTAATACATGAGAATATATCAAAACATTGTACAGGAAAACATGGCAGAAGTTGCACAATATACTTGGATTAAAAGAAAATTTTGCTTAATCACATTTCTGTCAATTGCACTCAATGAGTTAGCTTGCAAAACCAATGATTCAAATTGAATTGAGGTCAATTACCTCCACAAGTCTGCTGTTTTTCCTGAGTCCAGCTTGCCAAGCAAAGCCGTACTGGTCTACTTCTGCCACTACTCCTTGGTAGTGCACATGGAATCCTAACTGGCCTAGACCATTCCTTCGTAATGTTACTTCACTTGACTGTAGAAATAAAAGTATAAAATACAGAAAAATCAAGCCAACAAATCTCAAATAAAAATTGTGGGTTAATATATAAACATATATAAATTATTTTGTCTTCAGAAATACAACATAACAAGAAAATATAACTCCATTTCAATTCATTGTACAAAACATTAGTTGACACTTATTACTCATCAAAAATGGCCTAAAGTGTACTGTCATGGATGAAGTTTGCAAAACACATAAAAAATAAAACAAATGTTCTTATTGCTCAATCTCAAAACTAATACAATTTTTTTAGAGAGTTATATTATTACAACTTAATATTTCACAGATTTTCAGACTTACCTTAGCACCTTTAGAAACCATATTAAGCCTAGCGACAACTTCTGTGATTCCATCTCCACCTTCCACAAGATGGACGACAACGCAGTCTCCTTCATTAAAATACACCTTTAAACTAAAATAAGGAGAACAGGCATTTTATAAACCTAATTACTAATACCCAATTTTTACATGACATAATTTTACATAGGACAAATGCTAAATGATATACAGATTTCCAGGTTCCCAAACTGTGAGCACATAAAAGAGCAGAATATAAGCCGTACCATGTGATTGTGCACACAGTTCAATGCTACAGGCCCCTGCAATGTATTCTTCTTACACTGACATTACATGCTTAAGCTATTATCCTGCACGAATGAGCCTTTATATGGACATATTGTAGCAGGTGACGCTAAAACTTTCTTTAGAACGTGCTGTGTAACATATTGTCACGTTTAAGTTTCCAAATAAGGATGAGAAAATTAATTTGGGATAACCACATAATATCAATCAATTACTACAGATGGTATAATTTTTTATATGAGGGTGCTATAGGGAAGCAAATGGCCTATAATAAATCAATTTTTCAATTTAAGTAGTTTGTTAATTGTGTAACTGTTAATTTTATTACTTTATTCTATTTTCACCGTTCAAAATTATGCTTTGGTAACCTTACAAGTTTCCATAGTAACCTACCAGTTTTCATTAACAGTCCAACCTATGATAGCCATAGAAGGAATGCAGAAAATAGGCAGTTTGCTTGAGTAATCCATCAAAGTAAAAAGCTCTGTCGAGATGCCTAAAATACTATCAACTGGTTCTGCCAAACTGAAATCACCAACCTGACAAAAAAAAATTTAGAAATATTTGAAAATTCACAGATATTGCTTGTAGGTGGACAAATCAAGGAACGGTTGCCAAGCCATGTTGTTATTAACAGGCACTGAATATGATACAAACCAGCTTCATGCTTATCTCCCAGTTTGATGTGTCTGAAATTATGGCCTTGATTTTATTGTAGAAAAAGTGAATGAAAAAGCAATAATGAATAGTATTGTAAAGTATAATACATACTCCAAGTATTGAAATACACGCCATCGTGTTGGGATTCAATATTTCGACATTAATTATGTCATCATCAGGAATGATGACGACATAATTCCTGATGATGACATAATTCCTGATGATGACATAATTCCTGATGATGACATAATTAATGTCGAAATATTGAATCCCAACACGATGGCATGTATTTCAATACTTGGAGTATGTATTACACTTTCTTAACTGAGATTAAGAAAAAGCAATAATGAATAGTATTGTAAAGTATAATACATACTCCAAGTATTGAAATACACGCCATCGTGTTGGGATTCAATATTTCGACATTAATTATGTCATCATCAGGAATGATGACGACATAATTCCTGATGATGACATAATTCCTGATGATGACATAATTCCTGATGATGACATAATTAATGTCGAAATATTGAATCCCAACACGATGGCATGTATTTCAATACTTGGAGTATGTATTACACTTTCTTAACTGAGATTAATCAGTGGACCTTTCGGTTTTTGGAATAGTATTGTTGATATGGCTTACTGTGTATACTTAGAATGGGGAGGTAAATATATTGATCTGTGGAGTTCAAATGAAAAGACAAAGAGGAAGCCTGATTATGAATTCATATGAAAAGAATAGTGAAACATTTCGATATGATCTAACGATATAAGCTTATCTGGATAGAAAGACGATTAAATCAATAATTCTATGATATAGTCCACCTTGCCCATGTCCCATAAAAAGTGGCTATGATAAATTGGACTAATTTCTTTAACATTTTCTATTTAGTCACTGAAGTTTGGTTCAGTCATATAAATTGTGATCAAAAGATGATCATTCCATGTGATAAAAAAAATTAGAAAACCACAGAAAGGGTAAGCTCCTAGATTATTTTGATTGATTAAAATTACATATAAAAACTTGAGGCGACTGACAATTGTACGTGTATGTTTAGTAGGGCTTTGTGGTACCTAATAAAATTAATGTGTTTTTGACTTCGCCTTTCCTACAAATCCAATACAGATAGTTTCATTTGACTGATTTTGTTTGCAAAGACAAAAACCTGACGGAGATTTTAATACTTTTTAAATGTCACGAAAAATATACATGTGGTAAAAAAAATACATTTTTAAAAACAAATGTTATATAAATTAATTTGATGATTGTTTTCAATCTATGATGATTGCAAAAAAGGAAATGATGGTAAAATATTGTAATGATCATTTTTTGGCCGAATAAAAACGAACTTCTTTTGCTAGAACTTTATCTACTTTCAAGTTTTATAAAAAAAAAAATGTTTATTTATCACATAATTCTTGATACTGTGGATAGAGCTTAACAAATATTAGGCAGAATGATGGATGAACATGCACCAGTGATACCTATTTACCACAAACTACAGTAGTACCTGTACCATGGCAATATATCTACTCACAATTCAAATACACTACAGAATACCTACATCAAGACAACATAGACATAATATTAACCATGTGATATCAACTACCTATTATCATCATACATAGTAAATTTCATGATTGGGCATTCTCTGTTATTATTTCTGGTATGTATAAATAACACACAAAAGAAAACTAGAATAAAAAAACAAAAATGTTACATTAAAAACACTGTACTTGAATAAAGAGTTCAAAAATTAGGATATATTACTATAATACATAGTAGTATACAGAAATGAAGTTGTCATCAGTTAGTTGAGGGCAGCAAACAGAAATTAACTTTGCTTGTTATAAACCAGAAAATTTTAAAACTTCATTCATTCGTTTTCCACCAGTTTTAGTTTATTGTCTGGTAACGAAACATCAAAAATTAAATAATAATGAACAGGTTATTATGAAATAAGTTCAGAAAATTGTAAGCATTTAGTTTATAATATCCATTCCATTAATTGGAATTAAGTCATTGTTTGAAACCAATGAAAATATGATGATAAATATCACCCATTACCTTAGTTGAAAAAAAAAATAACATGCACTTTGTGAAAAAATAATATCAAGTGTCAGTTTCAAAGAGTGGTAACTTCTCAGCTTTTATGTTAAATAAGTAATAATAAAAAGTGAACTCCCAAAATCAGTAATAGGCTTGTGAAATTCAAGATTCCTGAAGCATCATTCAACATAATAAAACATAACAACATATCCGGTGAGAAATTCCAAAAATCCAATTAAAACCATAAGTATTAAAAATGTTAACAATCAACATTTTCATGCAAAGCAAACACTGGTATACTGTACAATGAAATTGATAGCATTCATTAAGACAATGCAGTGATTGGCTATGGAGTGATATACTAAACTCGTAAATGATTCTATGTCGTAATCACCTGATCACACTCTCCACCAGCTAGTGGTGACCACTGATCTGCCTGCATGGACGGAAAGTCAGAGGAAAAAAATATCAACAGATGGCAACACACAACACAGCATTTTTATTCTGTAGTATATTAACACACCAAGTTGTTGACGTCTTATATAAATAGACATAAACATCAAAAAATGATTATTACAATAGAACCACTATTAAGGGACACCTTCGGGACCAAATAGTGTCCCCTTAAAAGGGGTGTCCGTTTAATAGGGGTTGGTCGTAGTATTAAAAGATATACTTTATCTCATTTTGTGGCTGCAAAAATGTGTCTCCGCAATAAGCATGTCCCCTTAATAGTGGTGTCCCCCAATATGGATGTCCCCTGAATAGGGGTGCCCCAAAAGAAAGTGTTCTACTCTATTTGTATTTATTTGTCCATAATTTATTAATGACATTTGGCCATCTCATGAACGAGGCCTACTTGGTAGTGGTGCCTATATATAAGCCACCGTGAATAACTACAGCATATTGATTGCAACTTAAACTACAGTTTAATATTTAAACATTTTACAAATGTTTCACACACACAAACACACACAAATGGAATGGCAGCTGATTTGGATGGTCACCTGATTTGGATAGTCAGCTGATTTATTATATAAACAGCTGAAGGAATGATCAACAACCTGGATGGCCACTGACAAGCAACAAGATGTACATTAATTAGCACCTTATATGAGGTACTTTATTTTGAAATCAATATTCGTATAATAATCATTTCTCTTTATATCATCTTAATTACAATCCTATACTAAATACATTAGACAATTATTAGAAAATATATAACCTTAAATAAATAGCTAGAAAAAAATTCAATGGAAGGGAATGTTTGAAAAATGATTCAAAAGATGTACTTTATGTCATGCAAAATGTGGCTGTGAAATATCAGAATTCATTTTGTGTATGCAGTAAATTTTGATTTGCTAATGTTATAAGTACAGTGGATATTTCCATCAGATCATTAACCAGTGGCGGACCGTCAAGGCAAGCCAGGTATGCAGTGCATACCCTGGCTAAAACAAATTAAAAAAATATAGTAGTAAAGTTTCTCCGTTTTATTTAGCCCATTTCTTGGTCAGGATCTTCTATATACACCCTAATTTTTCGAGTGGAATGCAATTCATTGGAATAGCAAAGTTTTTTGTTTAATGTTTGGCCTACTTTGGTACCTAGGATAAATCACAGTCGGGCCTATCACATCGCACTTAGAATTTCCGCATGACTGGTCTTCGATATCAGTCAATCACTTATTCAGTGAGTCAATGGAAGTCAGAGCATACCCTACAACGCTTAAATTCGCTATTGTGACAACTGTGAGGTAGCGTCAGAATAGCCAATTTAACACTGGAATGGAAGCAGTGGTTCCAAGACTATGTGCGCATTCTCTTCTCACAAATCGGGACCTCCACTGCCGATCGGGTATTCTATCTATAAAGCCTAATCTGAATCGATTAAAGTTTAAATATATTTACATACATATGACCAGTATAGAAGAAACTTTGAATTTTTATTATTTGAATTGAAATTTGTTAAAATACAGGAATAATAATTCTTTTGAAGAGAAGACAACCATGCCGGTATTAAAAATAACATGCATTGTATTTTGACTAAAGAACGCAATCTGATTCTTTGTAGTAGTAGGCTTACAAACTTTTCCTATCACTAGCAGGCCCTAGCATCAGTGGCATGCCTTGAAATGGAAGGGAGCTGATGGTGTTACGAAGGTAAAGTGGGGGATTGGTGATTATGAAGGGATAACTCGCAAAATAAGGTGATATGAGGTGATTTTTAATTACTTGAATATGATTTGTGGGTGGTTGTGCGACTGGGGGATGGGCGAGTATTTTTTTTCAGGGGTAGGTGGAGGACATGAGGCCCCTTGTACATCCTGGATATGCCAATACCTAGCATACCCTGCAATTTACCCTACGGTCCGCCACTGCCGTTAACAGACATAAAACGTACATGAATAACCAGTTCATGACAATGAGAATTTCCTTACCTGGACATACCACATGAGGGCACCCTTCAATGACATATCTGGTGGAGTTTTTGGTGTGACCTTTTCTTTCTTGCGATCAAAGATGGCAAACTTTCCAAGCTTGCTGCTTGAATCAATGGTCGTTTGCGTCACATTGTCCTTTACCAAATCTTTCAAGTACTCTAATCTTGTTCGAGTTGCCATGGAAACAAATTTTTCTGACTTATGAACAGCATTTTCACCATTGATTACTGGAAGTTAAATGATCATCATTTCGATAAAATCATGTTTCAAAAATTGATTACTTGTAGAGAAATAAATTCTACAGAGTCAAGGAAACTGCTAATCACCATCATTTTGTCATAAAAAAAAAAATTCAAACTGAGAAGGCGTCAGGCTACTTACCCTTGGCGAGTAGGAATTCAGCAAATGAACCAGATTTTTTAAATTTCATATTTGCCGAGAAATAAGGTCCAAAAGATGAAACGCCTTTAGACCTTGAAACAGCAACACTAAAAAAAAATTATCTATAGATTAGCAAAACAAATTTATACAGTAAAAGAATAATTTAGAGATTAACAAAAATACAAATAAACTTTGTTTCTGAAATCATACCGAGGATTAGAATAAAAATTAATTAAATAATGAAACTTTCATTATTTAATATTGATCTAAATACTTATGTATAAATTTTATCATGACCTTTTACATTAGGTCATGATACTTAAGTAACTTGAGATGAGGTGAATTGCATACTATTCACCATTGCCTGCAGCATGCGGTATACAATCAAAATCCTAATTAACTGTGAGATTGGTTGTATGCAAAAACAGCTAATTAGCGATGATCTAGAGTGCATACAAAGTCAATGGTGACTTGAATGTTGCCCGAGGAACTTTAAATATAACCTGTTAATAAGGATATATGCCTGTCAGCATGGCAAATCTGTACTGGATTTGAAACACTATACCACAAAGACAAATTACAATGAGCGTTGCAGTTAACATTCCAAAACGAAGCTAATTACCTAGATCAATTTGACTATATGATAGGATGTTATGACACTTAAAATATTATGATTTGTTTGAACAAGTTGTAAGCTGTGCATTCAATCATTCTATCTGTATATCTGAAACATGACTAAATATGTATAATACATCTTCATCAACATTTCATCAATAGCATTAATTAAACAATTTCATATTTTATCTGTAACAAATGTAATTGTATGAATTTCTTTTCTTTAAAAATACAAAAAAATAGATTAGATATCACTGAAT